AAAGGATATGGAAGATCAGCCTATAAAACTTAACCTTGGGACTCAAATGCCATGCAAAAAAGAAACTCCAATCATTACTCTATCAACCAATCCCTTCCATATACCCAATATCCCCCACGCCTAAGTTAGACCCTTTAAGTACACAAAACCCTGTCCATAATGCCCAATATACCATCATCTCTAAGGAGGAGATACAGACTCCTTCAAATCCTTCGTCAACACAGAACTGCCATGGAAAACCTTCCACCTCTACACCCTCAACAAGAAAATCCACAAATAATTTACGTTTAACCACCACAAGCACAGGATTACCAACCTGTGTCATGGATGGAGATGGGCCTGATAGGCCATGCATGCTCGTTCAATTTCCAGATAAATGGCCAGGACTCGATCATCATTCTTCACGACACTCAATACCTAGCCTAACTAGTGACAGAAGGCATGAGGTTGGCCATGAACAACTACCTCAATCAGGCTTGGCTCAACAATATCCTTCAACCCCTAGCACCCTCAGTGAATCCCCAACTGGTCCATGCAATGAGGAATCAATGGAATTTACCACCACACTTCAATCCGATCTACCTACAAAATGCTCTTCTGGACATGCCCTTCTTCATGCCAGAGACTTCAACTCAACTGAATCCCATATTCCTACCATGGGAACAACCTCAGCCAGTCAGGAGCCACCAATACCACTACCTCATCAATAACCTCCATCTCCACCCCACAACCAAATACATGTACCAGAACCAGTAGAGGCAGAAATGGAGGAGGAGGAGGAGGAACCCCTCAATCTACTCTTAGAAAGAGTCCTAGAAATCTCAAGTCTCGACGGAGTAAAAGTGTTTCTCTTCCCGGAGAGGCAAGAGAAGAGACACGTGCTCAGTTGACCACTAGCATTATACAAATGCTCGATGGACATAAGACTACCTCAAGATCCAACAGTGGACAACAAAGCCATGATCCTAGTTTCATCATTGAGAAGGAACCCGGTCTTAGGGGTAGTGAGGGAAAATGGGGATTCGGCAAACTCGAATCTTAATATCTCTATGAATCGACCTACAAATATTGTTATTTGGAACATAAGGGGAGGGAACAATGACAACTTTAGGAGGAACTTCAGGGAAATGGTAAATACCCATAGGCCTTGCATGGTGTCTCTGTTAGAAACTAGAATGGAAAAGTATATGGAGTTGCGGGAAGATTTTGGGTTCACAGAATTGATAGAGGTACCAGCTGAAGGCCAAACAGGAGGAATAGTGGTGTTGTACAACCATGAAATTGTGACTATCCAAAACTTTGTTCGAAGGGATCAAAAATTCATGCTACAATTGAGGTAACTCCTATACGTAAATATTGGCTTTTTAGTGCTATTTATGCTAGTACAAATATGCTCAGTAGGAATATGATGTGGGATAATCTTGAAAATATTAGCAACAATTACAATGGTCCATGGTTATTGGGGAGAGATTTTAATGATGTTTTAGGCTCAAATGAGAAATTTGGTGGCAAGTGTATAAATGACAATAGGGCTAATTATCTATGGTCAAAAATTAACAATTGCAACTTGATTGACTTAGGTTATAAAGGGTGTAAATATACTTGGTCCAACCATAGACATAAAAATAAAGGTCTCATTATGGAAAGGCTTGATAATGTATTAGGAAATGAGGATTGGATTAATCTCTTTCCAAAAAGTTCTATTATTCACCTCCCTAAGACCCATTCGGACCATAACCCCATCCTAGTAGAATTAATCCCTAAAAATAATTATCTCCATAAGCAACCCTTTAGACTTGAGACCTACTGGTGCAAGCATCCATAATTCAAGCCGTTAGTTCAAAATAATTGGACAAATACTGACTATAATAGGGCTAGCCATAATTTCATAGAAAAAGTTAAGGTTTGGAAACAACAAACCTTTGGTGATATAATAGGAAAAAAAGAAAGATCCTAGCCCGCCTTCAAGGAATTCAGAATTTCAAACATTACCCTTATAGTACTTTCCTCCAAACCCTAGAAACTAATCTAAAAAGAGATTACAATGACTTACTAAAAATAGAAGAAGACTATTGGAAGCTTAGATCGAGGGTTATGTGACTAAATGAAGGAGATGCTAGCACTAAGTTTTTTCACATCTCTGCCTCCAATTGAAAAAGAATGAATAAGATTAACTTCTTTAAAGATGAGGAAGGAAATTGGATCAATGATCCTCATCTAGTCATTTCTCATGTTTGTAATTATTTCACTAATATTTTTACCACATCTCAAAACAAAGCAAGTCGGGTTAGCCCTCTAAAAAACATCTCTCAAAACTCTTTAAGCCATAATTCTCTAGATAACCCCTTGCTTGATATTGAAATCAAAAAGGATCTCTTCTCCTTTAAACCTTTCAAAGCCCCCGGTCCAGATGGCCTTCACCCATTCTTTTTCCAAAAATACTGGATATTATAGGACTCTCTGTGAAAAACTTGTGTCATGACATTTTTAGGAATCAGGAAATCCCCTAAGATCTTAACAAAACTTACCTCTGCCTAATTTCAAAAATACCCAATGCCAACAACATCAAAAGTTTTAGACCTATTGGCCTATGTAACACTATTTACAAATTAATCATTAAAATCCTAGCAAATCGCCTCAAACCTTTCCTTGACCAGCTTATTAATCCTTATCAAGCGAGTTTTATAAAAAATAGAAGAGCGTCTGACAATGCTATTATCATTCAGGAACTAGTCTCAAAAATCCATAAATTAAAAGGAAAACAAGGTTACATGCTCCTTAAAATTAACTTAGAGAAAGCTTTTGACCGGTTGGAATGGTCATTTGTACATCACACATTAACCTACTTCAATTTCCCTCAAAAATTTTAAAAACTCCTCCTAAACTGCATCTCAACTAGTACCATAGTTGTACTAGTTAATGGCTCTATTAATATTTTTTTTAAACCAAGTCGGGGAATTAGGCAAGGGGATCCTATATCCCTTTATATCTTCATCCTTTGTCTAGAAATGCTGTCAAGATACATAAACCATCACATTGATTTAGAAATTGGGATCCAATTACTATAGGGAAAAGAAGTCCCAAGTTTTCACACCTTTTTCTTTGCGGAGGATCTCTCCCTCATGGCTAAAGCCAATATGAAATCGTGCCATGCAATCCAAAAAGGCTTAGATCTTTTTTGTAATCTATTAGGATAATGTACCAACACTTCAAAGTCCAAAATTATCTTTTCTAACAACTGTCCCCAAACTCTCATAAAAGAGATTACCAATAGTTTGAGTATTAAAAGAAGTGATTCCTTTGGTACATATCTAGGTTTTCCTATATTAAACAAACACCCTAGACCAAAGGATTATCAATTCATAATTGACAAAATGAGAGCCAAACTAACGACTTGGAAAATGAAGTTTATCAATATAGCTAGCCGGACAACACTCTCCCTCTCTTGTCTAAACTCAATCCCTAACCATTATATGCAATACACCCTACTTCCTACAAACATTCTAAACAAAATTGACAAAGTACAAAGAGACTTCATATGGGGAACTACCAGTGAGAGGAAAAGAATTCACCTTATCAAATGGTCCACCATTTGCCAACCAAAAAGCAAGGGAAGCCTTGGACTTCACAGAGTAAAAGATAAAAACCTTTGCAATCTTGCTAGCCTAGCTTGGAGAGTCCTAACGAACCCTACAAGCCCATGGGCAAACCTAATCATTAGTAACTATGCTAATAATTTCAGCACAAGTAAAACCTCTTTTGTATGGAAAAACATTCAAAAGGGGTGGGAATTATGTTCCAAAGGTATCATTTGGCATCCCCACCACCAATCCAACATGAACATTTGGGAAACCTATTGGATTCCGAATTTGGGGAGTCTTAGAAAAATAATAGAAGACCCTTTATTAAGAAAGGATTCCTCAATAAAAATTAAAGACATCTTTGATGGCAAAAATTGGCACTTTGGTAATATATCCCTCAACCTTCCCAAAGAAGTCATGGACAACATATCAAAAGTTAAAATCCATCTTAAAAAACCAAATTGTGACATCCCTATTTGGTTTCTAAATAAGAAAGGCTTCTTTACAAGCAAAACTTGCTATACTATCATGGACTCTAATGAGGGCAGGAAAATTAATTTTAAATGGATTTGGGATCTAGCATGCCCAAATAAAATCAAATTCTTCCTATGACAATGCTTTTATAACAGAATACCCTGTAGATAATATTTAGCAAAAATTGACCTAAATATCGACCCCCGATGCCCTATATGTAGAGATCATATAGAAGAATCCATAATGCATATTTTCTTCAGCTGCCAAGCCAGTAAACATTTTTGGGACAACCTAGGATGGCAAAACTTCTATAAGGAGCATGGTGATCTTTGGTTAATCCAATTAAAAAACTTTGACTATCCTTTAACCAATAATTTTTTAGATTGAAATCTCTTCTTCCCTTTTGTTATCTGTCATATTCGGATAAACAGGAATAGCAACAACCAAAACAATACAAAACACCCTATCAATATCAACCACATCATTGTTAGGGCTACTGAATTTCGACTCTTAACTGAAAATAGTATTCTACCTTCTCCAAAAATCCATATAAATGTTAAATGACATAGACCCCCAAAGGGATGGTTCAAATTAAACATTGATGCAAGTTTCAACAAAATTTTGCAAAATTGTGGCCTGGGTGGAGTAATCAGAAATGCTAATGGTCACTGGATAGTTGGCTATTCATAATCAGCTCATGCACGTAGATCACTGCATGCTGAGATCAAAGCACTACTAGCAGGACTTAAAACAACTCTTACTTGGGGGATGTTCCCTGTCCAAGTTGAAACAGATTCGATGGAGGTAATCCTGTCAATCCAACAAGGTAATAATATTTATGCTAACATTGTTAACAAATGCAGGTTGTTAATGCACCAACAGAAGCAGGTAATCATCCAGCACGAGTTCAGGCAAGGGAATAAGGTAGCTCACCAACTGGCACAGATGGCGACTGCTGATCTCAGGAAGAAGAAGAAAGTTTTTGTGGAACCACCAGAAGATGTAAAAATTCTAGTAGAACATGATTTACTAGAACAATATGTTTTTGGAAAACTTCTATCTTATAATGCTTGTAAAAATTTAGCAAGTATAGGTAATCAAAGTGTCCTGTGTGACACTAACTATGAATTTCATGTACTGCATGTTCCTTAACCTTTAATATATATATTTCCTGTTTGCTCAAAGAAAGACCTTCAATTTACCACTCCTATGATTCTCCTTGTTCTAGTGAGGTGAGGATTATCACATCATGGACTTAAAATTCTTGCCAAACGTGAGAAGCTCTAGATGCAAACAATATGAGGAAAAACAAAAGTAGCCTAGTGCATCATCACGTGTTTACGTAGGGTCCGAGAAAGGACCGCACCTCAAAGAATGTAATGTATACTCCTAACGAAATGGCCGGCCCGAACCCGAGACATATAAATCATACGGAGACAATTTTATCATTGTTACGGAAACAACCCGTGACCAATAGGTCATATATTTAATGGTAAAGATGTTTTTTTAATTCTAATTAGTTCGCATCTTTTCCAAAAAGGAAATTGTAAATATAATCACCGGTTTAAAATTGGCGGATCCAACCATTAAAAATCCAATGCTTCGAGGTCAATGTTTTATGCGAAAAACAAGTATAAATAAGTAAGACATATATTTTAGAACTTAATTTCTCAAAATGAAATCACAACGTCTCAATTTTGGATTTGATGATTTAATTTTGGGTGAAAAAAACTCGTAAGTAGCTAGAGGTGCACAGTGGACCTAATTAAACGATCATACAATGAGAGAGCTGAATCCTAAAATAAAGATACTCCAATATGTATACAGTATGTGAGTGCATGGTTGCTTTCATGTGCAATAGGGTAAAAATGGTGGTCCTTCGCGAGGGTGACCACTGCACTTTCCTGGGATACGGACAACTTAGCTTTAACAACTTAGCTTTTCTTTCTATTCCACAATCTTCTTATTTTCGCTATTTATTACTATTTCTTCTACTCTCATCCACAATATTTTGAGTCCGAAACCTAATCATGGTATTTTTCGACTCAAACGATACAAATAGGGGAAAAAATGACTACCATTTTATATATAGCATGATTATTCACCGCGCTATACCTTAACGACACGTTTGTCCGCTAAGGTATAGCACGGTGAATAATCACGCTATATTTGAACTTTCCCACCAATAATTCATCTGAATTTTACTTACCCACCAATAATTGAGGGTATAACGCATGCGGTATAGGCGCTACATATATAGCGCCCATAATACATGCGCTATACCCTCAATTATTATACCCCGGACTGATTTTTTTTCTTATTTAAGGAATCTCAGAATTTGGTAAAAATCTATTAAGGATCCTTCATGTCTTCCGAAATATTTGTTCGTTAAGTTATTTTGCATTTTGTCATAATGTTCGAAAAGCGAAAAATTAGGTTTTCATTATACTGGGGGTGGGGGAGGGGGGAGGGGTGAGGTTGTGGTGCAGAAAAATTCTGTACACTATAGTTGTTCTCCACAGTGTCATGTTAAGTTTTTACTTACAATGGAGTACGATAGATTGATATCGTTGTTATGTAAAAAATGAGTGTGAGCAAACGTTCGGTTAATATTAAAATCACTGGAAGATATCCGTATTTTGTTACTCCGCAAGGGGTTGATTGCTATGCTGAGTTTAACATCAAAGACGATGAAACTCTGACAGATTGTTTAAGGACTCCGGATGAACACCGGAAAATTCTTGTGATAAAAATATTGGAAAATATACGTGAAGGCTGAAGACGTTCGCAATATTGAGGTTCCACAAAATAGGGATCCCGTAATCATCGGGTCATAAATGTCCTTCAGCTGGTTTGGGAAGCAGTGGTAATTCAGCTCCAGGTGGAAGTTCATCCAATGTGCCCAATTATCAAGGATAAACGTAGTGTTTTATTGCAGTATTTTTGTTGTACTAAATGTCTGTAAAAGTTCAGTTTGCAAAATTTCTGAAATAAAATTAAGTTACTATTGGGGTTAAATCTAATTGATATTTAGCATTAATGATTTAATACAATAATTTAGCATGCACCCCAAGAAATAAATAACAGTTTTCATTCACCATTATAGCCACTGTCTGACACTATTTCATTGTTATTGTCTTCATCTTCTTCGTCAACATCTTGTACGCACCCTTCCGGACCGAGGGCATCGTAAACTAGGTCTCGGTTGACAAACATTTTTCGTATTTTATCACTATCACCAATACGACCACTTGCTTGATTTCTACAATAATATGGGACTCCTACATCCAATGTCTGTAGTACAAACTTAGGTAGTCCCTCCCACTCGATAATTATTGGAAAAATAGGATAATTATTGTCTTTATGCAATTTTTCATTTTCTAATAAATCCCCATATTGATTCTCCGTTCCTTCGAGGTAGTTAAGGTCATTGAATGCATGATGAACGGCTAGTGCCTTTTCCATCTAAAATCTCCTTCATCAAATGCTGAATCACTTCTGGTTCATCTTTGTGTGTGTTTATTTGGAAAGTTGCAGACAGTGCTTGTGGCACAACTAGCCCATTGATGAATATAAAATATTTACTTATTATATATTATTAATATTCTACTTTAAATAATATACTTAAATTATATTTCGTATTTTGCCTCTTTCTCATTATTTTTGCAGAAAAAAAGATTATAAATAACAGAAGGAAAAGACAAAATGCTCGATGAAAGTCTGCTACGGCAAGCACAAGAATTGAAATGGGAAACGAAAGCCTATAATTGAAGCTTGGACTTGTCCAAGCTCACTCCTCGGACACATCCAAGCTCACTCTTCAGACGTGTCCAAGCTCATTCCTCGGACACATCCAAACTCATTCCTTGGACATGTCTAATCATTTAATGATTGCAAGATTTGTCTATAAATAGAATGCAATTTGACATCGTAAAAAGGAGGGAAGAAGGAAGAACTACTTTTATCTAAACTTTGGCCTTAACTTCTTTCTTTAACTATTTTATTTTCTTCTTATTAGTTATTGGATTTTCTAATAGTATTGGAAATATTCTAGAATTTCTATTTGTTGAGAGATTTAAATACTCCATAATGGAGTAACCTCTTTTGTTGGGATAGTTGATGAAACTTTTTTATAATATTATTTCAGTTTTAATACATCCTTGGCTTGAAATTTTCATTGTATAATTCATATTGTGCTGAAATAATGGTTTCTAACTAATCATTATTATCACTTCTATATATTTTATTTAAGTTATTCTTATATTAATTTTGTAATTCTCACGGAGCAAAATTAATATATAATAACCAATGAATAAAATAGTAGAGTGAGAATATTTTTTTGTAAAACTCTTATTTCAAATCTGTAATCTTGTTTGTCTCAGTTTTAATTCTCACGCAGGAATTGTTGTAGGCAAGATTACTGATTTTTAGTAAAAATATCTCACGAAGTTTTTACTAGCTTTTAGCACAATTCAAGCAAGAAAATATTTCGGTTTGATCGTCACTAGTTTTAACTTTATTAATTTCATAACCTCACGGAGTGCTATTAATTGACTTTTTCAATAAGCAGTTATTCTTTAGAGAAATACATGTAGAAATTGAGATTTTATTGTAATAATATTATCTAGTGAATTCAACGATTCCCAACTCTTTTTAAATTATAAATCTTTCGAAAATTGTTTGTTTTGTTTTAATTAATTAACAAGTTTTAAAACTCAGCTTTCATAAATTTGGTTCTCTCAGATAGTAGTAAAAATATTAAAAGTGTGTAGCCTAGATTAATCAATCTCTGTGGGACAATATCATAAACTATACTAGAATTTGACTGAGTATGAGCAGAAAAAAATTCATGCACATTGGTCTCGTCTAATTTTTGGCGCCGTTGCCAGGGATTGGCATAAGTCTATTTCAGACTAAATATTTTGTTACTAATTTGGGAACTTACTAGTAGTATTATTATCTTTGTTATCAGTATTTACTACATATTACTACTATTGCTTTTACTATTCCAAGTACTAACATCTTATAGAAGTGTTATTATCATTTATCCTTCTTATCATCATTATAGCATAGTAGTTACTATTATTAATACTAGTACTACTTGTAACTATATTCTATATTAGTATTATATTATTATTTTCCATCATTAGTTACTGTTACTACTTACTGATTTCATTTACCATTTTTTTTCTTCATAACATCTACTGCTAATTAGTACTAATATAATTACTATTATCATATACTACTACTACTAATAATAACAACAACATTATCATACTATTTTTATTTAATGACTTATTATTTTTGTTATCTTTGTCATCTTTGTTGTCCTTTGCTATTCATCACTTTCTTTTAATTACTTTCTTCTAAGTACTACTACTACTACTACTACTACCACTTTAGGAGTTAAGTTCAATTTTTTTTTTTTAGAATTTTGAGTAGTTTATGACCCGCTCTTCTATAAAAGAGTTGGTCAATTACGATCCTGAAATTGAAAGATCTCTTCGATTGTGCAGGAAATGACAAACATTATCTTCCCAAAGCATAGCTTGTGAAGGTATGGAGAATCAAGAAGTATAAGACATTCAACCACCTGTCCATGTGGAGGATCAGTTTGATGAAGTAGCACCAAGGCCAGCAAACAGAATCCTAAGGGATTATGCTAGACCTGACCGCTTCAACTATGAATCTAGTGTCAGAAAACCTCTAGTGGCAGCCAACAACTTTGAAATCAGGACTGGCCTGATTCAAACAATTCAACAGTCTTGCATCTTCACTGGAGACGCAAGTGAAGATCCACACAGTCATTTAATTGACTTTTTGGAACTTGTTAAAATAACTAAGTATAATAGAGTACCTCCTGAAGCTATCAAGTTACGGCTATTTCCTTTCTCTTTAAAAGGAGATGCCAAGACTTGGTTGCAAAGTTTGCCACAAGGTTCCATCACCACATGGGATCAAATGACTCATAAATTTTTAAACAAATATTTTTCCCCTACTAAAACTACAAAGTTAAGACAAGACATCTCTAATTTCTTGCAGACTGACACTGAGTCAGTTTATCAAGCTTGAGAAAGATTAGATTAAAAGCAATATTAAGAAAATGCCCATACCATGACATTCTTGAACATATCCAGTGGTATATTTTTTATCACGGGTTAAACCCCTCTTCTAGAAATGTGATTGATGCAACTGCAGGAGGTTCTGTAATGGGAAAAACCACGGAGGAAGCATTGCAATTGTTGAACGAGATTTCTGAGAATGCCATCCAATGGCCATCTGAGCGTGTAATCATCAAGAAGGTTGTTACGGTTAATCAGGTTGATGCTTTAAATACACTAACACAGCAAACTGTTTCTTTGGCACAAAAGTTTGAAACTTTTCAGGTGAATACACAACAACCAAGTCAATCTGAGGCTTGTGACATGTGTTGAGGAAACCATCTGAACCATGAATGTCAAGCAAATAATCATAATGACGAACATGTCCATTCTGTCGGTTATAAACCGTACCCTTTTGAGAGTCCAATGGCACAAAAGAATCCAGGATTTCAATGGAGCAATCCAGATGGTGCTGAGAACTCTCAAAGCTTCCAGAAGCAACAAATACAGGGTCCACCCGGATACCAGAATCCAAACCATGGTCAATCAAACTTCAGACCTTATCAGCAAGCAACTCCATATCAGCAAAGGCCTCAACAAGCCCATCTTAGTCTTGATGACCTTTGTACAAGTACATGAAGGTCACTAATGAAAAGATGGAAAGTCAGGGTTCAGCCCTTAAAAATCTAGAAATTCAATTAAGCCAATTGGCAGCTCTTGTGTCAGAAAAGATTCAGGGTCCCTTACCAAGCAATACGGAGAAAAAACCCAAAAGAGCACCTTAAGGCAATCACCTTATGGTTAGGTGACTAGTCAGAACAATAGGTAAGTAATGGTAAGAATGTTGAAATACTCTCTGAACCATCTGAAAAGAAAGAAGTCAAGAAAAAAGAAGAAAAGAATATTGAAAAATTGAATCCTCTCCCTGTGACAATTCCTTTTCCACAAAAAATGAAAAGAGAAAATTTTGATAGTCAATTTGCAAAATTTTTGGATATTTTAAAACAGATTCATATCAACATTCCGTTCACTCATGCTTTATTGCAAATGCTTTCATATGCTAAATTTTTAAAAGAAATTTTGTCAAACAAAAGAAAATTGGAAGAAGTTTCTATGGTAATGCTTACTGAAAAATGCAGTGCTATACTTCAAAATAAGCTACCACAAAAACTTGGTGACCCAGGCAGTTTTACAATTCCATGCGCTTTTAGAGGAGTATATTTTGAAAAAGCACTCTGTGATTCTGGAGCTTCAATAAATTTGATACCATTTTCTATCTTTAGAAAATTGAATCTTGGTGAAATGAAAGACATAGGTGTTTATCTTCAGTTTGCAGATCAAAGTACTAAGAAACCTAAGGGAATAATTGAAAATGTGCTTGTAAGAGTAGATAAGTTTGTTTTCCCTGTAGATTTTATAGTACTTGAAATAAAGGAATGTCTCAATGAACCAATCATTTTGGGTAGACCATTTCTTGCCACAGGTAGAGCAATCATAGATGTACATAAAGGACAACTAATTTTGAGAGTTGATGAAGAGAGAGTCAGTTTTGATATGCAAAAGATATTAAGATTTTCAGGAGATGAGACGTCATCGTCATGTTTTTCATTTGACATGCTTAATTATCTTATAGATGAATTCAAAGTTGATCAATTAATTCCAAACTCAATGGAAAGATATTTGGCCAAATCTGGCACAACACAAGATGATGATCCTATCATCAAAAGAGAAGCCGAAATACTAGAAAAAGATTCTGAAGATGAGGAGATCCAAATAGAACAAGTTCAACCAAAAATTGAACTCAAAATTCTCCCATCTCATTTAAAATATGTTTACCTTGAGAAAGAATTATTTCTAGTAATTATTTCATCTTCTCTTACTGCAGGACAAGAAGAAAAACTGATTGAAGTGTTGAAAGCACACAAAGGAACCTTGGGATGGACTATAAAATATATCAAAGGGATTAATCCAGCTGTTTGTACGCACAGAATCCTTATGGAGGATAGCTACAGGCCAATAGTCCAGCCCCAAAGGAGATTGAATCCAGCAATGCAGGAAGTAGTAAAAAAGGAGATCGCAAAGCATTTGGCGGAAGGTATTATCTATCCCATTTCAGACACCCCTTGGGTAAGCCCAATTCAGGTAGTACCAAAGAAATGAGGTATGACTGTTATAAAAAATGAAAGTAATGAACTCATACCTACCAGGACCGTCACGGGATGGAGAGTCTGTATTGATTACAGACGTCTCAATGATGCTACTAGAAATGATCATTTTTCTTTACCATTTATTGATCAAATGTTAGAAAGAATTGCAGGATATGGTTTTTACTGTTTTCTTGATGGCTATTCAGGGTATAACCAAATACCAATTGCACTTGAGGATCAGGACAGAACAACTTTCACATGTCCTCATGGAACATACGCCTATAGGAGAATGCCATTTAGTCTATGCAATGCCCCTGCTACATTTCAGCGTTGCATGTCAGCAATTTTTTCCGACATGACTGAAAAATTTCTTGAAATTTTTATGGATGATTTTACACTCTTTTGCAAAATATTTGAGGATTGTCTCCACCACTTGACCTTAGTTCTTAAGAGATGTGAAAAGACAAACTTGATTCTTAATTGGGAAAAATATCATTTTATGGTTACTGAGGGAATTGTGTTAGGACATAAAATCACTGCTAAAGGGATAGAAGTTGATAAGGCTAAAATTGATCTTATAGCAGGATTACCCCCTTCCACAACTGTTAAAGACATCAGAAGCTTTCTAGGTCATGCAGGTTTCTACAGACGGTTCATAAAAGACATTTTAAAGATTTCAAAACTGTTGACTAACCTTTTGATGAAAGATATTAAGTTTGATTTTTCAGGTGATTGTTTGAAAGCATTTGAGACCCTTAAAGAAAAGTTATCAACCACTCCTATAGTTGTGTCCCCAGACTGGAATCAACCTTTTGAGGTCATGTGTGATGCTAGTGATATACCAGTTGGAGCTGTTTTAGGCCAGAGAAAGGATAAGATCTTTCGTCCCATTTACTATGCTAGTAGAACAATGAATGAGGCTCAACTAAACTATGCCACAACAGAAAAAGAGTTACTAGTAGTAGTATTTGCTTTTGATAAGTTTCGATCTTATTATATAGGAACCAAGGTAATTGTTTTTACTGATCATGCAGCTTTAAAATACCTCTTAGCAAAGAAAAATGCTCTACCTAGATTGTTAAGATGAATTTTACTTCTACAGGAATTTGACCTTGAGATAAAAGACAAAAAGGGAATAGAAAATCTAGTAGCTGACCATTTGTCTAGATTGGAAAATCCCCCCCTTGAGTTTAGCGAAATAAAGGAAGAATTTCCTGATTAACATATTTTCTCAGTTAACTCAATTGTGACTCAACCACCCTGGTTTGCAGATATTGTAAACTACTTGGTTGGAAAGTGGACACCCCAAGATCTCTCTTACCAGCAAAGAAAAAAGCTTATATCTGATGCAAAGTAGTATTTGTGGAATGAACCTTACTTGTTTAAAAATTATGCAGATAATATCATTAGAAGATGTGTGCCTGAAGAAGAGATGAACAAAATTTTATATCACTATCATGATGGAGCAATTGGAGGTCATTATACAACAAATCGAACAGCCTTTAAAGTTTTGGAAGCTGGATTTTTCTGGCTGACTCTCTTTAAAGATGTCTGATCATATGTTGCACAATGTGACAGGTGTCAGAGAACAGGTAACATCACTAAGAGAGATGAGATGCCATTGCAATCAATACAGGTATGTGAAATATTTGATGTTTGGGGAATAGATTTCATGGGCCCTTTTTCTTCTTCTCATTCTTTTGAATTTATACTTGTGGATGTGGATTATGTGTCAAGATAGGTTGAAGTCATCCCCACATGGAAAAATGATGCTCGAACTGTGTGCAATTTTCTCAAAAAAAATATTTTTCCAGATTTGGCACACTGCGAGTCATCATAAGTGACCAGGGGACTCATTTTATGAATAGACAATTTTCTACTTTGCTAACAAAATATGGTGTGACTCATAAAACAGGAACACCATATCATGCTCAAACTCAAGGGCAAGTTTCGAAGTTTCCAACCATGAGTTAAAAAGAATTCTTGAAAAAATGGTTGGAATCTCAAGAAAAGACTAGGCTTTAAAACAGTCTTTGGGAAAGCTTGTCATTAGATTAGTCTTTGGGAAAGCTTGTCATTTGCCACTTGAATTAAAACACAAAGCTTTTTGGGCACTAAAAGCATTAAACTTTGAATTAGCCTCTACTGGTAAAAATAGATTTTTTCAGGTGTCACGACGCAAAATCCATTAAAGGTCGTGATGGCACCAGACACCGCAGTCAGGCAAGCCAAAAATAAATACTTAATTTGGTTCTCATTTTTAATATTTCTGATTTCATATTTCCTTCAATTAAATAGTAAAAGATGAAGTTTACAAAATAAATAATAATATCTTTAAAAATTCCAATACAGTGCAACCCATAATCGCCCAAAACATGGTGTACATGTGCATGAGCATCAACTAAGAATATAAAATAATATACAACATCTGTCCGGAATAAAAATTGAACAGGAAAATATAAATACTCTGAGGAAGACTCTGCTGGCTGCGGACTCGTAACGTGGAATGCAGCTCACCTAAGTCNTATTTGTGGAATGAACCTTACTTGTTTAAAAATTGCGCAGATAATATCATTAGAAGATGTGTGCTTGAAGATGAGATGAACAAAATTTTATATCACTGTCATGATGGAGCAATTGGAGAACATTATGCGGCAAATCGAACAACCTTTAAAGTTTTGGAAGCTGGATTTTTCTAGCCGACTCTCTTTAAAGATGCCCCAGCATATGTTGCACAATGTAACAGGTGTCAGAGAATAGGTAAAATCACTAAGAGAGATGAGATGTCATTACAATCAATACAGGTATGTGAAATATTTGATGTTTGGGGAATAGATTTCATGGGTCCTTTTCCTTCTTCTCATTCTTTTGAATATATCCTTGTGGCCGTGGATTATGTGTCAAGATGGGTTGAAGCCATCCCCACAAGGAAAAATGATGCTCGAACTATGTGCACTTTTCCCAAGAAAAATATTTTTACCAGATTAGGCATACCACGAGTCATCATTAGTGACCAAGGGACTCATTTTATGAATAGACTATTTTCTGATTTGCTGACAAAATATGGTGTGACTCATAAAACAGGAATACCATATCATGCTCAAACTCAAGGGCAAGTTGAAGTTTCCAACCGTGAGTTAAAAAGAATTCTCGAAAAAACGATTGGAATCTCAAGAAAAGACTGGG